CGAAACCTGCTACATGTTTTTATAAAGATAAAAAAAGCAGAGAACTCAGGAGATCAAAAAAACTATCAGTTATAGACTTTTCAATCGACTTTTATCGATGTGCATTTTTTTGAAACAATGATTGCTGTAATCCAATCGTTTCAGACGAACTTTTAACCTTGGATGATTCGTTGCAGACTGCCGATCTAAAAAAAAGCCAGTCTAAATATCAGATTTAAATTGATTTTCTTAAAACCTAAGTGGAAAAATTCATGGAGCTCGATTCAGATTAGCTAAAAACGATTGAAAAGAACTATTTTGAGAAAGATCTAAATAGTAGATAAAAATTTAATTTGAATTGCCAAACTGTTGCTTAATGACAGCTTATAGATTTCTTCTAAGAGAGAAACGACGAAAAATGATTCTAAAACTAGTACTTCACGTTTGTACCTACTTTTACTACATATGATTAAATTCGATTATCTACCTCGTAAACAAAAATTGAAATCGAGCAGCAGGTAAATATTGGTTAAAATGGAAAAATAACTAAAGATACATTAAAATCTGAAGACCAATAAGGCTAGACAATATATTAAGAAACGAAGTCAGCTCTAGTCCAATCGATATCGACGAATTTTTACGAATAAATGATTAAGATCTTTTTTTTTCTTTTTAATTTTTTTGCATGAGTATGAGAGATCTTTTGATAGAGAATAAACAATTATATCTCACCAGAATTTGATGACACATATGAATTGCTTCTCCATTACAATTTAAAAATTCACTAAAATTTATCGAAGACGTTAGTATTCTTGCAATTGATTTAAGCTAGCTCGTCGTGGTTCATATTTAAGTTTGAAAAGATTGCTTTAACAGATTTCTTTTTAATCACAAGATTTCATCGATTACCTTTGTGTTTTTGTTGGTGTTGCTATGTGCAGCCCTTTTCAAAAGAGTATGTATTTATAAGAAACTCTTTCAAAATAACGAGAAAAAAAGTACATCGATGTGAAATAGCAAATGTTCGCATACGTTAATGTTAAGAAATGAATCATTTTAAAATAAGTAAACAAATAGCGAAAGTTAACAGATTTCTTGCCAGCATAAAATATATTGAAATCATCGTAGACATTCAAGTTACCGTTGCTTCGTCATAATGAGTAAATTATTAGCAAGATTAAAGCAACGAGAGACATAATATTGACTATTAAATATTTAGTAGACCATTACTTTAATGTTATATTAAGCATGGGTACAGTTACGATTGTGAGTGAATTGAAGACTGACATTCATGTCCCGCAGTTTCTCAAAAACGTACTTCCATAGCTTCGTAAATCTTGAATACACATGTAAATCTTTCGTAGCTGTGTATAGTGTCCTTAACAACACTTAATTGATCGGCGATGAAGGGTGGTAAATTTTCATTTTGAGAACTGTCTTGAGGGTATACGTGTGAGTAGAATAAAGATTTACGAATCCATGCTCACACCTACCCATATGTCATTAGATAATAATTCTTATAATTGAAAAGAACTATATAAAAGAACTGAGATGAGACAAAAGATAGGAGAAAATGAATATTAATTTACATTAATGTGTCTATTTTTCTAGGCAAGCACTATACCAGAAATGTTGATGAAAAGTTTATTATTTCATATAACTTATTGATACAATTTTTATTTACTATTATTGTTAACACTTTTTCTTATTGTCAGTAAGTTGTAAATACAAACAATAATGTATATATATATTGTATGCTTCTCATCACTTTCTCAATTTTAAAATTCAGAAACTAGCCAATTGACTTTATTAGTAACAAAATTTATCAGCATTATCTTTACCATCGTCTGTTTAAATACAATTTTCAACAAGGTCTTAATCATTATCTACATTTATAGTTTATCATTGTTACAGAGATCATCTTCATCTATTTTATTATCAGGGCAATAAGAATGAAAGATTGGACATTTCTCCTACATCAATAAACATGTACATTTGAAATACAAGACAATCATAGCATATTCTATTTTCATATTTAAGTTGTATTTGTAAATTATAAAAATAAAACGAAGCTGATTGAAAATGAAATTATTTACAAAAACTAATTGTCTTAGATTCTTTTTTGTACGATTTATTATCTCTGCGCGAAACTGATCGAAACATGATTTAAAAAAAATTATTGACCTTAATATTTTATTAAAATCATTTCGTTTTCAAGACAGAAGATTATGAAATAATCGTGTACAATCGATAAATTTTCTACTTTTTTACGTTGACTCTTAGATTTTTCTCAAGAAAAGTGAGCAACATCATTCATAATTACTTTAGATAAGATCGTTCGTAGATATTATTTCATCTGGTTTTTTTCTGTTTAGGTCGTCTTAGTAATGCTAAAACAATCATATTTACTCTTGATTTTGCAATTATTTGCATGTTTTTCAATCAAAACTAAACAAAAATTTAAATTTCGATAAAGTTTTTTTATTATGCTACGTTTTCATTATTAAAACTTACTTCAATCGATCAATAATTTTTACTTATTCAAACAAGACACCTATCATGAAATACTAGTTCTTATAAATATATTCTATGGCTCTATGATATGGGTGGGAATGTAGATACAATTGAGAACAGCGATGATACCCACACCCCAACTTACCAGCATCCATAGTTGTTGTACGCAAGAGGTTTTCCACCCGTATAGTGTGCCATGAATTGAGCAAAGCCGATGATTAGTCGGGGCTGTGCCTTTTTTTTTAGGTCTGTGAGAATTTCCGTCGTTCCTATTACTAGTGGAAAGAAGAAACAAAGTATGCGAATTATCGTTGCCATTGACCTTATATATACTCGTAAAGGGCAACATATTCGCTCAAAAAATTCATTTATTTTGCCTCGAAAATTTCATATACACACATACGGGTAACTGCCACTTATTTATAACGCACTTTGATCTATAAAGATATTGCGCAAAAGATTACAGGATTACGAGACTTAACAGTGATGACTAGGATAGAATGCAAGTCAATGAGGAAAGAAAAGAAAATGTCTAACGGATGGGGAAACTGAATGACTGCGTTTTCCATTTCATTGTCTTCTTATTAAATATGCTTTATTAGGAAAACGAAAATATATTAAAAGGTGAAGCGTGAAAAGCTCTGACATATACAAAGTAAAGCTTATTTTGATCATGTACTTTTCTTTAAAACAAACGAAATTCTGAGGGTGACATTGGGCGTGAGTATGAAAATTACCTATGGCAATCATGACTTCAATCTTGTTAGAGACTTAGTCAAGTGGTATAGTAGTTTGTGAAAGTTAGCTGAAATGCACTATTCACTTTTTCTCTGTACAGTCTTGTTGAAAAAAAAACTCCTTGAAGTGAGAAAGTTATTTATCAAATTTTATTAAATAAGTAGCATCAAAGTGCAGACGAAAGTATTCTCTATTCGTATCAGTTAATATTTAACACCTTAATATCTAATCCAGTTATCAACTTTGTAACATGATATTGATTCATTTCTTCGAAGTTATTGGACTTTGACGTCATTCATATTTTCGTAGTAAAGCGTACTATTTTGGAAGAATCATATAGTCAAATATAGACTTTTCTTTGAGAAAATATATTTTCCATCGTTTGTGAGGATGTCGCCATCGAAAAAGATCGTTTTAAAAAAAATGTCTTATTGAGAAATACTTAGGGTATATCAAAAGCACTGGTATCGACTCTGTAATGTTTTACAGATACCTTTAGGAAATTTTTTCACTCTATATTCTGATAGCCCAAATCAAGCTCTATAATGCTATAATATTTCATAAATCTTCATACAATATTATCTAAGTAAAATTTTGATACTCTCAAGTTTTCTACAGCGTTTATGAATTTTTCCTTAGAAAATATAAAAAAACTAGCTATACGCATAGAAAAAACAAACAGAACACGTGCGTTTACACATGTGTATAAATGAAGGTAAACATCAAAGAAGTTAAAAAGACTGAGAAAAGAAAGAGAAGAGAGGAGAAGGTTAGAAGGAAAAAAAGAAGAGGATAGAAATATTACATTGAAGACAAATACCATATTATGAGCGTGCGTGTGGTTATGAGTTCAGAGGAGAGTTAGTTTCATAACCAAATTCACCTACACTCACACCCACACCCTTGTTGTTCATTGTTATAGTTCGATGCTTCCTAAAATCGAACTGTAAGGTTAATTTATAATTTAATAGTCCCTCGATGAAATAAAACGTGCTTCTTTGTCGTAAAAGATAAGATGATAATTAGATTCAATAATTGGATTACGTCTGAATATAAAATCATTATAGGAAAACTATTACTGAAAAATGAATATATCCTCTTCAAAACTAAACAAAGGTTTTATGAACAAAAATTTACTAGTTTTGTGTTTATGAATGAATTCTTTCGTCGTGAGGTAAAATTCAGTTTGTTCTCTACCCTTAGAAAAGATGAGCTTGGATGAAGTGAAGAAACAAATCCACACTCACACACACTAAAAGAACAGATGATGCATGTAGGTTCCACACGCATTATCTGGTCTTTTAGAATTTGCTTTTGAAGCATTCAAAATAAAATATGGATGAATTTATGCCGACTTTTTCTAAGAAAAAAAAAATTGTGTACAAATTAAGAACAGTTAAGCTTGAAAGACTCATGTCTAATGTCAAGCATCGATATCATGATTTTGATAGAGAGAATATCATTGTGAATAGATTGAATCTTTATTTGATCTTCTCATATGATCAATCGTAACGATTACACACAGAGAAGATACCAAGAAAGAAACAGGGATTTGTGATTGCCTGGTTTAATAATAAATTTTTCACTAATTTAACCTAATTATTTCTTCTTGTTCTGGACACATTTATTAGACTTAAATGTTGTTGAACAAGATAAACAAAATCAAAGCAAATAGAAAAATAGATTTGTGGTTAAGGAAAATGAATTTCTTCAGCACATGAAATTCACACGTAGACGATAGAAATCCTTCTAAAGTTTTCCATTGCTTTCTAGAGCAACGGCTTTTCAACACTGAAATTACTTGGTATTTGAATTGGTTTGATTGGATTCTGTTTATCATCATCATTTCGTTGTTCATCAATTGCTCCACTGTTGCGTAACACTTTCTCATATCGAATCAATTGCAAAAGAAAACCAGAATTTGGTAAAGATTGAGGACGCCGATCGAGTAAATACTTGTAAGCTTTTATTAAAGTATCATGATGGTATCTATAATGAAATATTCGACCGATTTTGAATACAAATGTAAAACTCACTTCATTAGATAGGCGAGTACAATGGAGGATGATCGAGAAATACCCATTTGACAGTGTACCAACACTTTCTCCTTCTTCTGCTTACACGAAAATAAGAAGTCATTCGTTTGTTGAAAATATTGATTGATATTAGCACGAAGATCATCGTCTATACTAATCCATAGCACATTGAAATTATGTGTGATTTCTGTTTTCAACGACTCGTCGCAGGTATTGACGATATGATGAATGCCAAGTTTTATAAGCAGGCTCACATTGCTTGCATGGCCTATATCGCCATGGTAGAGAAAGTCGTCAATCACCACTGATGGATTCTCACCATCAACATCCGGAAAATGTTCCCATTTCTGATATCGAAGTTGCTGTAATTTATCAAAGTATATTAATTCTTCATCGGTAGCTTTCATTTCTTCTTTTAGAATATTTGTTGTCCATGAATCAATATGTTCGATTGCCAGTGTATTTGTATTGCTAGCCATATTATTCTTTTTCGATGTATTATTCGCTTGAACAAGTGACCTTAAATGAAACTTAATTTTGAGCATGCATTTGCTAATAGGAATACTCATGCATTGCATGTCATACCATGATGACATAGAAAAAGTTCCACATATTGAACATGTACGAGGTGTATTCTACCTTCTTGACAGCTTATCTTCAAACTTTTATCTCTACTTTAGAGGAAAACTTTTTCATAATGTTTAATAGCGCCTCACGAATACAAGTAAAAACAGTGAGCTCACTTACGCATCCATACTTTAAGACTTATTTGCAATTAATGGATTATGACTTACAATAAGCAGACATAGAACAGTAGCACTTTGGAAATCAAGTCGTCGTCTTCAAAACAGAACAATGGCATTCTGACACCCGAAATGCCATTTCCAAAAATGAATATCATTATTTCGAATTTATGCTGTTTTGAGCTCATCTTTTTGACTAAGAATAAAACATGAACTACCATAGTTCTATATTCTGAGACGGTAGAAAAATCTAAGAATATTCCTTGTCTCGAAAGCTTATGCAATTTCGATCCAATAAAATGACAGTCAGTATAACCACTGAAATCTCTTTTAACTGAACTTGATTTGTTGCTCAATGAAAACCAACAATAAAAGTTGACGGAGGTTTTGCGAATGTCTCACTATATAAGTATTAGATCCGTTAGCCTACGAAATACTGCGATATAATATCAAGCTCTTTGCTAATATGAAAGTGTCACCACCAGATGACTTTCAGGATCATTGAGGACCTCTGTCACGTATCAACAATCTTTCCAGACATCCATATTAAATCTTAGATGATTTTATCAACTAAAACAAGACTAGAGTATGCATTGACAATAAACTTACTTTTTTGTGTTTCTTATATAAAATCGAAACTCCGAAAGAAGAACGTGTTGCATTTGCAACCGATCCCTCTTTCTTTTTCAATTCTTTACATCAATGTTTTTGGTGCGTCAACACGTTAACATAGTTTCCGACACCATTTTTTTTGCGTAATTTGGTTGATGACGCCAGTACGGTTGCAAATCAATAAGGAGAAAAAAAGGGTGCAGGCGTGGATGTAGTTGTTCTTTTAATTGACACGCACACCCCCTTATCCATTCCACACTCGCTGCATATATCGTTCTATTCTCCATATAAACGAGTCTATATGAGCTGCGTGTATGATTAGGTGCAGGCAAAATAGACTATCGAAGGAGTTAAGATTATTCTGAATCAAAACTATCATTAGTTCCATGAAAACAATCATTCATGACTAGTACAAATGGCTCTTCATATTAGTCTGGATTAGTTAGGTATTCAATATTGTCGGATCAAATGTTCGAAACCACCTATGCTCTCCTTTTCCATTGCTTTTTATCGTTACGCTGACACATCTGGACAGGATGATTATACAAAACGGACTAGTCATGATAGGGTGCTAGCTTATTTAGGGCTAGTCTACATGAAGTTGTAAGACTTTGTGCGTCAAGAAAACTAGTCCTGGCGGGCTACAAGTAATCTCAGACTAGACCAGATTGTAGTGCAGACACTTGAGATTAGTCATGTCCGGCTTCCTCCCTTATCTTTTGCCTGCCTGAGTATTCACTTATGTTGATGAAGGAGAGATAGATGCTATGTTCATAAGAATATATCATCTATAAAACTAAAAATGAAGATGTTTTTTGTCGATAAATTTCCCAGAACTATTCTAGGGTGTGGGTGTGGGTGTGGGTGTGGGTGTGGGTGTGGGTGTGGGTGTGGGTGGGT